TTTGATTTAATGTGATTTTATTTATTTATTTTATTTATATTTCAAATTTAGACACCACCCATCTCATGAGAAGTGACTCTTTAATGTGATGTATGTGCCTAGATGATCAAACTATAGTTAAGCAAACTATGGCTTAGTACAGTCTTTCTCAGCCTTGGCAACTTTAAGATGTCTGGACCAACTTCCAGAATACTGGCTGGGGAATTCTGGGAGTTGAAGTCCATTCATCTTAAAGTTGCTAAGGTTGAGAGACACTGGTTTAGTATAACATGTAAATGAGGCTAAGTTTCCAGTTGATAAGGATTGAAGAAGCTTCTTAATGGATGGTTCACAGTGCTAAAAATCAAACACCTATTTGGATTTTTTCCTCATTAAGTGGTATTTTTTCCTGCTATGAAAAGAATGTAGAAGCAGCAGTGAAAAAAAATATTGGAGGGTTACAGACAGGTGGTGTTGGGTTCTTTTGATCCCATGAACATTCTGCAAATTAGGTAATTGCATAATAAAAACCTCATTGAGAGGGGTTTTTACTTCTAAGTAATATTAAAAACATCAAGAGTCAGATCAAAACTTAATTAAACCAGGGCTCAAATGCCATCATGACCAACCAGTTGCCTCAGAGATGGCCACAAACCAGCCAGGAATAGAACATCTTCTTGCATGGGTTCCCTGGCAGTTGAGGTCACTTCTGATGCTACAATTAATGAGTCCTGCATGTAGCTGCTAATAGCTTTCTCCTCTGTGAAAAAGTAATCTCCTATTAAATTCTTCTGTCTTTGATGTTCCTATCTGTCAGAAACTGATGAACAAGCCTCACCTTTTATTCTAGCACACCTGCTCCCCATCAACATTTGCAAAACTTTAACTAAGCCCTATGTAGTAATGCATGGGTGGGTGGGGAACGGCTCAGGAATATTCACACTGTGCATATTCACACGGAAGGTTCTAGCTACAATTATTAACCCTTCTCTTTCATACAAGTTTAATCAATCAATCAATCAATCAATTATTAATAATTTCTTAAAAGAACAGGGAGCAAGGAATGGTTAAGATCTCTACTGGAGACTCTATAGCAGGAATAACACAAATTTAACTCCTCGTCCCACCCCATAATCCTTAATTATTGGTGATGCTGGCTGGGGCTGCTGGGAGTTGCAGTTCAAAAGCATCTGATGACAGGTTCTGTACACCTTTCTTTCCCTAGAGCAGTGTTTCTCCACCTTGGCCATTTTAAGATGCATGGACTTCAAGTCCCAGAATTCCCCAGCCAGCATCACCTGTTTGGCTGATCTCAAAGACCTGTTTAACACTTGGACGGGGGACTATAATTCAGTGTTTTTCAACCTTGGCCACTTTAAGATGTGTAGACATCAACTCCCAGAATTCCCCAACCAGGAATGCTGGCTGGGGAATTCTGGGAGTTGAAGTCCACACATCTTAAAACAGCCAAGGTTGAGAAACACCGACCCAGAGACTGTCTGCTTATCAAAGGAAGCAATGCTGGCCTTCAGCTCTAGGATTCCATGGTGGTCTTCCATCCACATACTTACTATCCTTGATGCTGCTGCTCCCATCTGCTGAATCTTTTGAAACCCTTGACTTCTACACAGACATGACCGCATAGCTTTTGGTAATAACACATAAGGATTGGCCGTGTTTGCACTTCTTAGTCTGGCCTACGGCCCTTCCATCCAAACATCCACCAGGCCTTACTCGACTCTAAATCAACCAGGGCTAGCTGAGTCCTGTCACTTTGGGGGCTCTCTGGGGGTCTTCCTGGATGTAACAATGCACTTTTCTTGGCAGCAGACCACAAATGGTTTGCCATTGTCTTCTTCTGGGAGGTTTCTCCCAGTGCACGCTAGATCTGTAGGGTTTCCTGGTGGTGCTCCCTCCGAGCCTTATCCAGTTTTAGTCCTGCTCAGTTCCCTCAAGCTCAGCCACAGACTGCCCCCTGCTGAGTACAGTACAGAAGCGCTGGCTCACTCCTGCAGCTGATGCGCAGAGTGGTTTGCCCTCATCTTTCGGCGAGGGGACCGCCGCGGGATTTCTGCGTGGCCTCCCATCCCAGCAGCTCCCAGGCTGGACGCTGCCCAGTCACGACGTTGCTCCCTGCAGAGAAACAACCCCAATCGGTGCTTTCAAAAAGGGCAAACCAAAAACAGGCTCAACAACTTCCCCGCACTGGGGTTACCGAACGCTTTAAACATGGGGGGCTGAATCCACCTCTATCCTCCCTGGGCTGCGGCGGGGGCTCCGCCGTGCCCGCTCCCGGACTACAGCTTCCATCCTCCCTGGCCGGCCGGGGATAATGGGAGCGGCAGTCCCGGCGGGCGGCGAGCGGGCATATTTTTTGCTACCGCGCGCTCGCGAGTGAGGCCGCCTTCCTCCAGGCCCCGGCTTGCGGCCTGCTGCGGTTTCCATAGCAACGGCTCCTTCCCTCGCCTTG